CGCCCCGGCCCGCGCGGACCCGAGCCTCAGCCACGCCCCACCACGCAGGGAGCTTACCGGCAGGGGGCGCCGTCGCCGCCCGCTCCTCGCGAGGCGGCCGGCTCCGGGATAACGGTTTCCCAGAAGAGGGCGCCGGAGCGCTCTCTTGGCGCGGGGAGACACGCTCCCAGCCCGCGCCGGGAGTCACGGCAGCGTGGCCTGCTGGGAGTTGTAGTCCTTCAGCCAATAGGTGCGCGTGACTGGAGCGGAAGCCAGTCGGTGACTTCCCGGACATGTCCTCTTCTTGCGAGACCGGGGTGGGGTTGGCTGCCTGCGCCGTTATCGCGAGACGAGACGGGCGGTTCCGCTTCGCCGCACCGGGTCGCCGGGCTAGCGTCTCATCTTCCGGGCGTGAAAGACAGCGGCGCCGCAAGTCCCTGGCGTGTGCACCATGGGCAAGGCCAGGCCGGCCGGGACGCGGAGGCAAGCCCCCAGGGCGCCGGCGAAGATCAACCCTAACCCGTTCGAGGTGAAAGTCAACAGGCAGAAGTTCCAGATCCTGGGGAGGAAGACGCGCCACGACGTGGGGCTGCCCGGCGTGTCGCGCGCGCGGGCCATCAGAAAGGTAAGGGGCCCCGCCAGGACGTGTCCCCAGGGCTGGCTGCGGGGCCTCCAGCCGGCCGCTCCTCGGTGCCTCGGTTTCTCCGTCTGCAAAGTGGAGAGCGTGACGTTCCCATAGCACTGGCTGGCTGGTTCTGCCTCCGTGCTTCCCTTTGTCTGGGCCGGCTGATCTTCCGCTGGAAAACTGCCGCGCCGGGGGACTTTGTACACGAGCGTGGTTTTGGTGACGCTCTGCTTCTGGCGGAGTTAATCCCTTCTGAGCTTGCAGTTCAAGCTGGCCTTGAGCTCACTTTGTAGCTCAGGCTGGTCTTGAACTCGCAACGATCCTCCTGCCTCAGCCTCCCGAGTGCTGTGATTACAGGCTTGCGCAAGCACACCCAGCGGATAGAGGTCTTGTAGGGGGCTCCATAGGCGTTTGGAGGATGAAGCCGATGACCTCGCCCCTTGGGAGGTACTGAAAGGCAGCCTTCTGTGGAAAGTCTCGTAGCTCCCGTCTTTCCTGTGTTGTATGGCTCCCAGACAGTATTCTGTACCTGCCTCTCAAATTCGGTTCAACAAATAGCAGCTGCCAAGACGTGTTCCTTGGGCTTTACAGGGTGCAGGGGTTTGAGCCAGGGTCTCCCTATGTCGTGCAGGCTGGCCTTGAACTTATGTGTCCCAGACTGGCCTCAAACTCTCTGCGATCCCCTCCTTCAGCCTTGAGTGCTGGGACTGCAGGAGTGCACCACTAGGCCAGGCCCTGAGGCTTTTTTGAAACAGTGTTTATTGTTACTCTTAGGAAGATACAGTAGTAAGTTGGTGAAGAAATTAAGGCACAGAGTAGAGTGAGCATGGCGGTGCACTCTTGTATTGCCAGCACTCAGGAAGCTGAGGCAGGTGGATTGGAAGTTTAAGGCTAGCCTGGGCTTCATAGTGAGACCCTGTCTCTAAATAAAGCACAGAAAGAACAAATGAATTTCCCAACTGGTGAGCCATACAACTGGTAAAAGGCTGGGGCTTGCATTTCAGGTTCAATGTCTGCAAAGCCTTTAAGGTATGCTGGGTGCAGATTTCAGGTTTTGAGACTGAGTCTTACTGTGTTGTCCAAACTGGTCTCAAAGTCCACACTCAAGTGATCTTCCCCGTTCATCCTCCCGAGTGCTGGGTTACAGGTGTGTGTACCACTGAGTGCATGTAGCTTCCCAGCTACTGGGAAGGTAAAAGTGAAACAGGTAGACTCTGCCTTCAAGAGGCTACAGTCAGAGCTGAGCAAGGTGGCACATGACTATAATCGCAGCACTCGGAGGCTGAGGCAGGAGGATCACTGTGAATTTGAGGCCATCCTGGACCACATAGTGAGTTCAACGCCAGCCGGAACGACAGAGTGAGACCCTGTCTCAAACACAGAAACAAGAGTCTGCAGTCTGTATTTCACACTGTGTGCAACTCGTGAGCTTCGAACCGAATAAAATGCCATCTTACTGCAAGGAGCAGGCTGTGTGACGGCAGGACACCCAGTGGCCTTCCGCGAACATCCACCAGTTCACACTCTGCGGCAGCAGTGTTAGCGTGGCCCTGGGGGAGCAGGGTACTGTGGCCTCTGGGAGACGCTTCCGTCTTCGCTTCAGCGGCAGTTTTCTCATTTACACAGTGGTGACAATGCATTCTGCCCCTCCTAGGCGTGGGAATTAAGTCGTACATTCGGTGGGGGTGAACCTCCTGCAAACTTATGCTTCTTCTCAGGCTCCTTCTCCGTCTGGTCTCCGCCTGTCCTCCTTGCTTTGTTTCCTGCCTCCCACAGTCACTAAAGGCCAGCTGAGGTCACCACTCCTGGGCGGGCTGCTCAGACCCGCCTTGTCCGATGGGGCAGGGAACTGCTGCTCCTCCGATTCCCTCTGCGTGGCCCACGGTAGAAAGTCAAGTGTGTGAAGGAATCACAAGTGGAGGCCGAGTCCCCTGGAGACCAGAGATCGAGTCAGGAGGAAGTGTAACAACAGGGGCGTGAGAACATTCTTCCCGGGGCTGCGCCCCAGCTCTGCAGGGTGAGCAGCTGCGCCGAGGGCTTCCACACAGGAAGGGCTCCACACTGTCCGCGGGCCTGTGGAGGCCAAGCCCAGGCGTGGGCCTCTGGGCCTGTCCCTGTGTGCCTGTCCTGGGGAGGAGCTGCCTGTCCCCATCGGCTTCTCGGTCGGTTGTGGCACCAAAGAGCAGTGCTGCAGTAGAGGGTGGTCCCAGCACCACCCTTCTGCAGTTGTGCGTCAGTCTGCTCAAATCTAAAGTGAATTGTAAAATAATTATTAAGATAGTTTTTTGTTTGTTTGTTTGTTTAGTTTTTTTTGAGACAGGGTCTCACTCTGTCGTTCAGGCTGATCTTGGATTCACTGTGTAGCCCCTGCTGGCCTTGAATCAGTTGATCTTCCTGCCTCAGCCTCCCAAGTGCTGCTAGATTACAGGGGTGCGCCATCATTCCCGGCCTGATAAACATTTTTAAGGTCTTACATTACACATGAAAGCATAACTGCATTTCCTAGGAGTGTCTTCACTGGGAAAAAAGCGTCCTCATCCAGGGCGGAAGGGGTTGTATTTTCCCAAGTGAATCGGTGTAACATAAACACGGTCCTAAGTTGCCACTGCAGCTGGAAAAGCAGGTACCTTTAGCTGGGCTGTCGGGCTTTTTTACCCATCCTTTCTTTCAGCACCAACAAGTAGACTATAAAGAGAGAAAAAATTACCCTGTTTTCACCACGAGTGAGCTACTTTCTTGTCTCAGAGTTGTCCCTAGCGGAGGAGACTCGTCACTGATGGACTTTAAAGCTCGCACTGTTCTGAGTCCCTCGGTGGCAGTCACAGGAGCATTCTGTGAGATTATTTACCGTCTGTTTTCCAGCGCACCCAGACGTTACTGAAGGAGTACAAGGAAAGGGATAAGTCCAATGTATTTAAAGACAAGCGCCTTGGGGAGTACAGCAGCGACATGAGCCCGGAGGAGAAGATGATGAAGAGGTTCGCATTGGAGCAACAGGTACGGGGAAACTAGAGAAAGGTTTTGCTTTTGGTCTTTTGCTGTAAGTTTTGCTAGAGGCCACGCTCGGGGAGAAGGTCGTCTCCCCGTTGCCCATTCACATCTTTTTGGGTGCTGCACACAGACCGGGAAGCGGGTCTCCGGTCCTGCACCTATCTGGCGAGGCCAGGGCAGAAGCAGCCTTGTGCGCATGTCAGTCACGCAGAAGGGTAGCGCCATGTCCCACTGATGTCACCAAAAGCCCTGCCTTTCCCTTTGCCGGGCGGAGGCCTGGTGCCGGCGAGGACTCAGGACTTACCAGGGGGCTTCGCCCAGCCTGCCAGTTTATTGAAGAGGTCCCCTCTGTCAGCTCCAGTTATAGCCGCGTCACTTTTCAGATGGGAAACAAAGGTAATTTTAGGGAACTGATTTTTTTTTCCTCTCTTCTGTTAGCGACATCACGAGAAAAAAAGCATCTACAACCTGAATGAAGATGAAGAGTTGACGCACTATGGCCAGTCTCTGGCGGACATTGAGAAGCACAACGACATCGTGGACAGCGACAGTGACACTGAAGAGCGAGGAGCCTTGTCTGGTAAGGTGGGAGCCAGGCTCCTCCTGCCTCCTGCTCCTCCTGCGGGCCATGAAAGTTACCTGGAAGTTTCACCTTCCAATAAGTTCTACATGTCACAGCTTTATTTATTTTTCAGGTATAAGATAGATGCTTTTAACCAGGCACCACTGGTGGTACACACCTGTAATCCCAGCACTCAGGAGGCTGAGGCAGGAGGATCACTGAGAGTTTGAGGCCAGCCTGGGATATATAGTGAGACTGTCTCAAACAAAACAAAACAAAACAAAAGATAGATGCTTTTATGGGCTGAGGACTCACTAATACCCATTTTCTTATTTAAATTTCACAGCAGCTCATTTTCCTCTTGCTCTCAGAGAACTAGAGCTATGAGTCAAATTCCTACTGATTATAAGATAGCTCTTTTGCACTAAACCACACTGCTCACTGTATTTTACAAATGCTGATCTGTTACTCATATTAATGATGGGGCTGGGGATTTAGCTCAGTGGCAAAAGCGCCTGCCTGGCAAGCGCAAGGTCGTGAGTTCGGTTCCCGGTACCAGAGAAAAAAAACTCATATTAATGATGTAGCTACAGCCCCAGCTCTTTCTTTTTGAAACAGTTTCACTAAGGTGCCCAGGCTGGCCACAGACTTGCAGTCTTCCTGCCTCAACTGCCTGAGCGGCTGGGGTTATACTGGTACAACACCACAGTTGGATTTTAAGAATGGGTTTTTTTGTTTTGTTTTCTTGTTCTTTGGGTTGTTGTTTTGGTTTTGGTTTTTTGAGACATGGTCATGCTATGTAGTTCAAGCTGGCTTCAAACTATCCTCCTGCCTCAGCCTCACGAATGCTGGGATTACAGGTATGCGCCACCACACTGGGCAAAAATTGTGTACATTCTACGTGAATGATTCCCAGTGTCTCTCTGGTGAATAGGACAAGGTGGAGATGAGTGGCACTGGTCCATGATTCCTGTCCCAGAGGGAGGGCTGTTCAGGCCAGCTGGGCCCCCACGCATACCCGCTGGCAGTGCTGGAGACTCACTGGCAGGGACAGGAATCAGCCAGTCTCCCCGCCCCGTATAGGAGCACGGGGAAGCGGCTGGGCTTGGGCTCCCTCAGAGACTCTGGTTACCTCCTGTTTTCCTGGGCGTGCCGGTGTTTGATCAGAACACGGGAAGTAGGGGCTGGGTGTTCCAGTGCCGTGGCTTGTGTCCAGTTAGTGAGTAATGGGTCTGCATTTTCTCGGAGCAGCTTGTCTTGGCTGTCCCTCGTGCCGCCTCTGGTGTGGGAGAATTGTTTCTTGGACGTGGACTTCTGAAGACCGAGCTTGGAGAATGTGGGGAGGGGACTAGACAGGTGCATCCTGCCCCAGGGCCCGGGATCACGGCGCTGTTCTGTGCTTTCGTCTCCAGCTGAGCTGACCGCTGCCCACTTTGGAGGCGGCGGCGGGATCCTTCAGAAGAAGACAGCCCCACAGGAAGAAGGGGACAAGCCAAAGTCACGAAAGGAGCTGATCGAAGAGCTCATTGCAAAGTCCAAGCAAGAGAAGGTGGGCAGTTGGTGTCATTGATGGGAACTGGCTTCACCAAAATAGTCCCAGCCGCCTTGCCTTGTACACCTTCGGGCTCGCTTTGCACTTCGCGTGGGTTCGGAAAGCTGCGCCTCATGTCAGGCGCCCTGAGCTTCATCCAGCTCGCACGTCTTCGGGCGGCCGCAGCTGCAGCGTTTGAGGCGAGGCAGGATCTGCACACCTCTGCTCGTTAACCAAATGTGCCGCCTCAGGGCACCTTGTGCACGGGGAATTGAGCATTCCCGGGGCTACCCAGACTTCTTGGCAGGCACCTGTACTGATGCCCCTCACTCTCTGCGCTCTTGGCAGCTGTGGTGCTGCCCACGCGCAGTTGTGTGCATTGTGGCCCTGGCCTTGCTGCAGCCCAGCGACCGTGCTGTGTGTGTGTCCTTTGTCTCCAGAGGGAGAGACAGGCTCAACGGGAAGATGCTCTCGAGCTCACAGAGAAGCTGGACCAGGACTGGAAAGAAATCCAGACTCTTCTGTCACACAAAACTCCCAAGGCTGAGAACAGAGAGAAGGAGAAGCCCAAGGTGAGGCTCAAACCAGTGCTGACCTTTAGCGTCCACTGATTTCTCTGGGGAGGGGAGACCACTGCCAGGGGTCTCTTCTGGCCTTCTCCTACTAGGACAGGTTTTCAGGGAAATTTTTTGTTCTGTTTCACTTTGTTGTTCCTTTGAATCAGGGTCTCGCTGTGTAGCCCAGGCTGGCCTTGAACTCACCATGTGGTCCAGGCTGGCCCTGACTCTACCACACCTGGCCTTCAGTGCAGCATTGGTGTCCACCTCTGAGATAGTGTTCTGGTGGGATAGAGTAAACGCGAGGCTACTTCTGTGTCCGCTTCAGGTGAATCAGATCACACATGTCCGGGGGTGAGAAGTGCTTGCCAGGAGAGCACACAGACACATCTGTGCTTCAGCGTGACACACGTGTGTCATTATCATTTATTCCCTGTAACAGTGTTGTTTCCTGTTGTGTCGTATTTGCCTAAGCTGTTGGGAAACTGCCTTTGAGCAGCGAGGTGCTGGGTAGGCTGGGCTTGCGCTCGGCGTCACTGTCGCCTGCCGCGGTGCATCTGTGAGTCACCCGCGTAATTGCGGCTCCCTTACCAGATTTCCCATGCTTGGTCCTTCGTACCGCCACCAGCGATGTTTTTTTGTTAAAGCAGATATACTCAGAGTTTTCTGTGAGCAGAAAAGTCCACAGGACTCGTGTGCCTGCTGATCCCCGGTCCCCGGGCTGACTGGGAAGCCACCCCTCCCGAAGGAAAGACCGGTGGGGCGGGCTCAGCTGTGGCCAGAGGGCGTTGGGCGCACAGCTGCGCAGTTGTTCTCTTTCTGTGATCAAGGCATTAAGAATGCGCCTTCTCTGCCCCTAGCCTGATGCGTATGATATGGTGGTTCGAGAGCTTGGCTTCGAGATGAAGGCGAAGCCCTCGAACAGGATGAAGACGGAAGCGGAACTGGCAAAGGAGGAGCAGGAGCGGCTCAGGAAGCTGGAGGTATGCGGGGCCCAGGGCGCGGTGCCACACTTGGGAGCTGTCACATATGCAAGGAGGCTGCCTTTTATGTGCGTCGCTTTCTGCTTTTTTTGAAAGACCGTCTGTATTTAAAATTTGTATTTAGTCAACTGGACACTCCTTTTTATTTCTGGTTATAAAAACAAAATTTTCAAATAAAACACAAGGAATACCCAGGTACACCAAATAAAACATGGTCAGCCCTTATCCATCGTGTGCCCCAAACAGCCTCCAGCAGTATGGTGCGTGCATTGCCTTCTAAATTTTTTGAAAAGTTTTCACTGCATTTAAATAAAAATGAACTAGATGCACACTGTGCTACTGGCCATTTTGCTGTGTTCACAGCCCAGGTCTCTGCAGCCGAGTCTGGGAGATGGGGGCAGGGCGGCGCCTCCCCTGAAACACGGGCCAGGTGGCGGCGGCAGCGCTGGCTGTGGAGGGACAGGTGCCCTTCCTCGTGCTGTGGAGCTTTTCTGCCCCCGGGTTGAGCAGTTCCCGGGGTTAAACAAGGGAGCGCTGTCTGCAGCGCCGCAAGTGCCCGTGTGCTCAGCTGAGGCGGAGGAGAGTGTGGCTGGACGCCCCGGCGCCAGGAGGGGCGCAGCCTCCCTGTGCTGTTCGACGGGCACCAGCGTGACTTCCTCCCCTCTGGCTCAGGCTGAGAGACTCCGAAGGATGCTTGGGAAGGACGGAGAAGAAAAGGAACCGAAGCACGTGTCAGCGGATGACCTGCACGACGGCTTCATACTGGACAGAGACGACAGGCGTTTGCTTTCTTACAAAGTAAGACGTTCACTTTCATCTTCAAGGAGGTCAGCAGAGAGGGAAATTCATGTCTTTTAAAGCACTTTGAAGTGTTTCCTGTTTGTTAGCCTCGTAGGGAAGATGAACGACAGGTACAGATCGTAAACCACACAGGCCCGACTCCAGCTGCCCATTTCTCACATCAGCCACATTTTAATCACATGGTTTGTAACCAGGTGTGGTGGTGCACGCCTATAATCCCAGCACTCGGGAGGCTGAGGCAGGAGGACTGCTGTGTGCTTAAGGCCAGCCTGGGGTACACAGTAAGAACATTTCAGAAAACCAAAAAAATTCTATTTCATGGTTTAATTTATTTATTTTTTTTTGTCTTTGAGACAGGGTCTCGCTATGCAGTTCAGGCTGGCCTTGAGCTCACTTTGTAGCCCAGGCTGGTCTCGATCTTGCAAGGATCCTCCTGCCTCAGCCTCTCAAGTGCTGGGATTACAGGCATGCACCACCCATGCCTGGCTATCTCGTGGTTTAAAACTGATTGTCTGCGTGACCTCAGCATAATACTGGGGGAACTAGCTTAGGGTTAGAGTTCTGTGTATTTTTGAGGCGTAATTGAGTCTCTAGGGTTGGTGCAGGTCTCTGTCCCTTTGCCATTTAGAGTAAAGCAGTTGGGTCTCTGTGAAAAGCAGGCCGGCCTCGTACTTTGAGCAGAACAGGGTCCAAGACGGGAAATGGGCCACGGATACAATGCTAGGTTACCTGAGCAGCAGGGGATGGCTCACACCAGGGGCAAACCAGGGTGCCAGTGTTGTCCTCTGTGACCCCGTCCCCAAACCAGCGGCAAGAAGCTTTAGGCTTTCACACCTGCTGAAACCCGAGGCACCAGCTGCCTTCACATCTTAGACCCACGCATTTCCCTGCCAGGGCCTCACCCAGGGTTCCAGTGGCAGGACTCTGGGACCCTGTGTTTTTGTGATTTTTTTTTTTTTCTTTTCTACTTTTAACAACATAACTGGGCTGGGAATTTCTTAAAGAAAAGAGGTTTATGTAGCCTGCAGTTCCGGAAGGTGGAGGGTGTGGTGCCAGCTTCTGTTCCACTCTGGTGAGGGCCCATGGAGGGTGGCATGGTGCTGGCAGGAGCCGGTACAGGAGAGAGTGATTGTGTGGCCTTGCAGGCGTCAGAGGGAGGGGCTGGGCTTGCTGCAGTTACGAGTGCTGTCCTGAGAAGAGCCCAGGGACAGGGACAGGGACAGAGCCACCTTAACACCACCCCACCCATCTCAGCACAGGGTAGTGCCCTCCTGACTGTCCCCTCTTAGGATTCCATGCTGAGGCCCAGGCTTCAGCAGTGAGCCCGGCATCCTGGGGGAGGGCGCCCCACGTGGGTCAGGACCTCTGCCTGCTCTGCGCCTGTGTGGTGACGCCGTGTCTGTGGTCCCTTCCTAGGATGGAAAGATGAATGTCGAGGGCGATGTCGGGGAGGAGCAAAGCGAGGAAACTGGCAGCCAGGAGAACCAGGAGGAGGAGCGGGGTGAAGATGACGAGGAGGAAGAGGACGGAGAGGAGAGTGGCGAGGAAGAGGGCGGAGAGGAGAGCGCCGGCCCAGATAGCCGCTCAGACCTGGACTCGAGTGCAGAGAGTGCAGAGGAGGGTGACGAGCCAGAGCAGGAGCAGCATCAGGCTCCTTGTGGGAGCCCCACGGGTGACAACCAGAAAACTCACAGAGCTGGCAGCCAGGAGCTGCCCTACGTCTTCACAGGTGAGTGGGGTGCCTCGTGTGTGGGGGTGACCTCTCTGGGACCTGGCCGTACCGTGTACCCTTGCTCACCCCCTCCCTCAGGGCTGCCTTCTGTGGAGGGGGGCCCAGGTGTCCTGTGAGGGGGGCACGTCCACATTGGTGACATCTTTGCTGAGTGGGCTCATGCTGTCATCCTTCTCTTGGTGCCTGCAGGCAGCATGGTCACCTTGGTCACACGGCCAGGGTGGACACAGACGAGCCGAGCCCTCCCCATGGCAGGAGTCCACACTGCCTGGTAGTCCTGGAGATTTGGGGGCCACTGGCAAGGTGTCTTCTTGTGCTGGCTGCTGTTGGGCCATGTGGCACCTTACACAAATGACGGCACCGGGTTGTCCTTTGCTGGGGAAGCTCCCGCAGCCTGGCAGGCAAGCCCAGATGAGCCTGTGAGCTCCAGAGAGGACAGTGAGTGGGCGGGCTGGCCTCCACGTGGGAGTCTTCGGTGGCTCGGCGTCTTGTTAGGTGACACTGCGTGTCACAGAGCTTCCCTTGTCTGAGGCATGGAAGCACTAACCCAGCGCTGTCCCGGCGATGCTGGTGGATGGACCAGCAAGTCCCACCTGAGGAAAGGCGGGGTCTTGTCTTCTTGCTGCTGTTCTCACTGGTCACTCCCCGGTTGCCCGGTGAGGTCGTGCACCCACCCCTCACCCTGGGCAATCAGGTGTGAGCGGTGAAATTGTGAGGTCAAACACCAACTTCCATCGGATGTGGTTATGGCGTCTTGGGAAAGTGGAAGTGGTTTTCCTTGTGCTGGGCAGCAGCCGTGTGAGCCGCTCGTGATGAACTCTGTCTCCTCGGTGTCACAGTGCCCGAGTCCTACGAGGAGCTGAGATCATTGCTGTCGGGAAGATCAGTGGACGAGCAGCTCCTGGTGGTGGAGAGAATTCAGAAATGCAACCATCCGAGCCTCGCTGTGGGAAACAAAGCAAAACTGGAGGTACGCGGGAATGATGCGCTTCGAGTATTGTTACACGGCCTGCAGTGCATGCACGTGGCAGGGTCAGCCCATCCCCGGCACCTGTGAGGAGGCCCCGACTCCCACAGCCATCGAGGGCTGGCATTGCTTGGGTAAATGGAGAACTAACCACATGCACAGTGCGTCCTGCTGCAAACGTGTGGCGCTGCACTGTTCCACGTTTGGTTTAATCAAATCAGCGTCTCTCCTGGTCTGAAGGGCTTCGCACGCCCCTGGCCCTGAGCTTGCTTTCTCCGTGCATCCCTGTGCCCAGCAGGGCCTGGCGCTGTCTGTCTGCATTTTGTGTAGATGCTTGCACTGGGCCGGGTGAGGTGTCACCGAAGGTGTCTGCCTATAGCTTTCCGCTGAGCTGTCCTTCTTGATTCTGTCCCTGCAGAAGCTGTTTGGCTTCCTTTTGGAGTACGTTGGAGATCGGGCCACAAGTGATCCACCAGACCTCAAAGTAATTGACAAGTTAGTTGCGTAAGTAAAACTGTGCTATTGGGGTGTGGGACTGGAACACTTGCTCCTAGTTGGAGTCAAACAGAAACATTCTGGGATCCTTGAGGCAGTGTGGCAGGCAGAGGCCTCACGACAGCATCCTAGTCCAACACGGGCTGCCCCGTCACCACCGAGACACAGGGTTTCACTGTGCAGTGCGGGCTCAGCTCATGTTGTAGTCCAGGCTGGTCTCGAACTCGCAACAGTCCTCCTGCTTCAGCCTCCTGCGTGCTGGGATTACAGGCATGTGCCACTGTGCCTGGCCTAAGCAGGTTAACTTTAAAGCAGCTGAGCCTTTCAGATTTTCTGAGTCTTGATGGCCTGCTCTTGTGTTTTGCTTACCCGTAAAGTGTCGAGCCCTGCAGGCTGCAGTATCTGGGTGCTCGTGGTGACCGGTCCTGCTGCTGCTGTGCAGCCTGAGCCTCACAGACCCGTGCCTCGGTGTTGGACACCCTGCGGTGTCCTACAGAAGAGGCCTGGGCCGGGCCCTGGCACCATGCCAGACGCTCGGGACTCTGCGTGGCAGCTCCTGGCCCCCACTTCTGTTGGCTGGAACAGTATGAGTACAGTAGTCTCTGGGAGGCCTGTGCTGGCCCTGGTCGGGGAGAGCTATAACTCGAGGCACCAGAGCTCCGAGCTACTTCTGGCCGCAGCCTGCCGGAGCCCCGCCGCATGGCAGCGTGCGCGCCTGCAGGAGGCCGCGAGGCTGTGAGCTGTGTGAAAAGGCGTGGCTGCCGCGACGTGTGGTCCTGATGGCATGACTGGGACCGAGAGGTGTTTCTAGTGCTACCACTTAAACCCTCTGAGCAGAGTTTTAGGAAGTGGCAAACGTGAGAGTAGACTGCCGTGAAACGCTGTTGGGAAATGACCCGGTCACCGAGCAGGCCAGCTGGGGACCCGTAGGTACAGACGGCGGCCTGGTTCATCCCAGCAGCAGGAGAAGGGAAGCTACAACTTGTCCTCGGGGCCTCTCTGCACAGCACTCCTGATTTGGCTGTCTGGAGTCATTCTCTGCTGTGTCTGCTTAACAGGCAGCTGTATAATCTCTGCCAGATGTTCCCCAAGTCGGCGAGCGGCTCCGTGAAGTTTGTCCTCCGAGATGCCATGCACGAGATGGAAGAGATGATCGAGACCAAGGGCCGGGCCGCGTTCCCGGGGCTGGACGTGGTAAGCAGAGGCAGGGTTCCTCGAGCGTTGGCTGCAGCTGCCCGGAATGCAGTCCCAGTGGGGCCGTGCCCGGGAGCTGCTCCCTAACGCACCCGGCTCTGCCCTCTTGGCAGGCACAGGGCTGCCTGCCGGCGCTGACCTCTCAGCCCCGCTGCTCACTCGGCGTTTGCGCCTCACCTGCTGTATTCCCCTGCCTGGAGCAGCTGCGCACTGGCACAGACTGGAGGCTCCCCCCACGTATGCCTCTCCCCTTTTTTTTTTTTTTTTTTTTTTTTTTTTTTTCTCCGGTACCGGGAACCGAACTCAGGACCTTGCGCTTGCCAGGCAGGCGCTTTTGCCGCTGAGCTAAATCCCCAGCCCCATGCCTCTCCCCTTGATGCCTTGGCCCTGCTTTCTCCGCTGCTGTAACCCCACAGTCTCACAGGCCGGGCTCATCGCAGTCCCCGCCAGTGTATGCGGCAGCGCTGGGGCTCGATGGGCTTCGTTCCCGTGCGTGAAGCTGCCCGTCTTTTGGCACACGTGAGGGACGCTGCTCTCTGTGCACGTGCCCTCTGCGGACTCTGCTGGGCCACCTGTCTCAGGGGCGGGTTCTGTGGCACAGGACGATCGTCCCTGTCTGCTGAGCTGCACACGCTCTCCCCAGCGTGCCTGCCGGCTCTGCGCGGTGGTTTTGCCGCCGCACGTGTCGTAATAGAAGGGAACTGCTGAAACGCCGTTGTGTGTGGGGTCACAGGGAGACGGTTTGGCCACTGACAGTTTGGCAGGCAAACAAGGCTTCCGTTCTACCCTAGGAGTCGTGTTCGATGCCTGGCCGTGCCTGACCACACTCCAGCACATGAGCAGCTCCATCCTGCGGGCTGCTGCCGGGGTGACCAGGGTGACCCCACAAACGGTGCTGGGAAGTTCTGGAGAGAACTTGTCTTGCTCTTGTGGAGAGTTCAGCTGCCCTTTGCTAAGACTTCCCCCACTCCCCCGATCTTTTTGAGATGGTCTCGCTGTGCAGCTCAGGCTGGCCTTGAACTCACAACGATCCTCTTGCCTGAGCCTCCCAAGTGCTGGGATTACAGGTGTGCGCCACCGCGCCCGGCACTAAGGCTCTCATAAGATTCTTGGTAGCATGTTTGGAAAGCTTTGGTGGAAATGGAAATGCTGAGTGGCCTGTGTCGGGCTCTCAGCTGCAGGCTGGTTTTGCAAGGCATCTTTTCTTGCCCGTGAGGTGGCTCCAAAAGTGAGGGCTTCGCACCTGTTACCCGGGAGTGGAGCGGGGCTCGGAGCTCGCCCTGGGTGCTGCTGTACCGGGTGCTGTCCCTGAGCGTCCACCTCAGTGCTAGTCAGGGGACGTTCCCTGGCCCACATCAGGTGGAGGTGGGCAAGGTGCACGCCAGGGTCCAAGAGGCTGCCTGCCCAGCGAGGGCGTGGGTCCCCACGCAGCTCCACGTCTGGCCCTGACGGCAGGGGCTGGGCCTCTCGAGTAGGTGGCACCGGGCAGCGCTGGGAAGCGGCTCTTCCCGTGTGTGGTCACAGCAGAGCCGGCAGCATGGCACAGCCCTCCCGGGTCATCAGGAACTGGCTCTGCGGGAGGAGGGGTGCCCTCGGAGTGGGACTGGGGCAGGAATGTGCCAGCAATGTGCTGGCCAGCACATTGTGCCAGCACCCCGCCCCTGGATCCCTCTCTAAAGGCCTTGCTGAGCCAGCGTTTGATGTTCTGTAATCGGTGTGACCGCACTTTCTTTCCAGCTCATTTATTTGAAAATTGCCGGGCTGTTGTTTCCGACCTCTGACTTCTGGCATCCCGTCGTGACCCCTGCCCTGGTGTGCATGAGCCAGATCCTCACCAAGGTGAGTTTCCACCTCCACACAGCAGGCCCCCCTGCGTCCCTCAGGCCATGCGCTGACCACAGCAGGCAGAGCCGGCTCACCTGGGGACCCGAGAACCCGCTCCAGCATGGGGCATCGGGCTGTGAGGTCAGAGCCGGTCCGGGGCCCTCTCGGTGCGCTCCGCCCCAGCAGCTGTGTCTGAGTTAGCAGTCAAGGCTATGGGGAGGGGCTGAGCCCAGAAAACGACCTTTCCCGCTAGCGGTAAAGCTACACATCTTACTCCATTTCAGATGAGGGTGTAGATGGTTCCAGTCTGCGGCCGACCCACCCTTACCGCAGTAACGCACCCTGCGGGTGGCAGCAGTTCAGTGTGCTGCCTCTGCTGGAATACAGGGTCGTCCCATTTGGTGGTGCTCAGTGGGCGCCCACTTGGCCCGGGAGCCAAGTGCCAGGTGCCAGTCACTGTCCCCCGTGGGTTCCTTTGCAGTGCCCGGTGCTGTCCCTACATGATGTGGTGAAAGGCCTGTTCGTGTGCTGCCTCTTCCTGGACTACGTGTCTCTGTCTCGGAGGTTCATCCCTGAGCTAGTTAATTTCCTGCTTGGGATTCTTTACATTGCAGCCCCAAACAAGCAAAGCCGTGGTGAGAGTGGGTTTGTGGGAGCTTCTTGGAAATGCGCTTTGGGGTGTTTTAAAAGTAATTCACATTTGTTGTAGAAAATTTGGCATATAGAAGAGGAGAGGAAACACAAAGTTCTGAATTCCTGCCCTGGAGGGTGGCCTGTGTTTTCTCGGGGGGGGGGGGGTGAGTGTCATGCTCCTGCCAGGTTCAGATCTGGCCCCCTGGGCTTCTGTGCCAGAGTCTGGCAGTGGCCACCCCTGGCAGCCTGGCCTGAGGGGTGCCCGGGGGAGAGGGACTAAGGATGGGGGCCACACACATCAGGTGGCACACAGGTTTTTATGTATTGCGATTATATTTTGGGCTAAATAAAATAGGCTCTGGAGGTTAATTTTACATTTTTCTTTTTGCTTTTTTTTTTCCTCCTTTGTGGGGAGGGTGCTGCCTGTAGAAGTCAGGCTCTTGCTGCCCATGCAGATTTATTCTTTGTATTTTGGGGTGTTTGGTTTTGTTTTGTTTTGATTTTTGTTGTTTTTTGGGTACTGGGACTCGAACTCAAGATCTTGTACTTGCAAGGCAGGTACTGTGCCACTGAGCTATATCTCCGGCTTGTTTTGTTTTTTGAGACAGGGTTTTGCTGTGTAGTTCAAGCTGGCCTAGAACTCACTGCATAGGTAACCCAGGCTGGCCTCGAACTTGTGGCAATCCTTCTTCTACCTCACCCTCCCAAGTGCTGGGACTTCAGGCATGTGCCACCACGCCCAGCTCTAATTTTTGTCTTTTTAATGCAGCATGTTACGGTGTTGCTCAGGCTGACCTGAGACCAGGCCACCCACAGAGCTGCATGCACCTCCTGTGGGAATCATTTGAACGCCCTTGGAAAGCGGCTGCTAGGCAGGGCCTCCCCACAGCGCTCCAGTCTGCTGTCCGTCTGACCAGCCTTCCTCAATGTGACTCCGTGCACATAGCACTCATCTCCTGCGTGGGGCACAGAGAGCCACCACCGGGCAGCAGGGAAGCCAGGCTGGGCACCGCTGGAGGGCACACTGCAGCAGGAGTGCTGGTGCTGGGTGCAGCAGGAAGGGGCAGTCACCGTGGCCTGCTGGGGATGGGACAAGCCGACACCAGTCCTCATTTGTCCCACCTGCCGTGGAGCCGAGCCTGGGCTCTCCCACAGGCTGCTCTTTGGCTGATAGCTCTTCTAGGGGACAGCCGGTGACTCCGGGGCATTGACCAGTCTTCACCATTGCCTTTGCCCAGCTGCCCCATGCACGGCATCCTCTTCGCTGCTCTACTTCCTCTGCCGTGCATTTTTGCTCCTGTCCACCTGGTTTGCTTCTGTGGGTGGTGTGTGCTGCCATGCGGCCTTGGTGTGGCCTGAGCTCCAGAGCCCTGTGTGGCGTGCAGCAGGCCCACAGGAAGCTTTGGTGGCCTTAGCCGCCATGTGGGCTCAGGTCGTGGCCTTAGGCACCACTGCCACAGCTTCTACCCAAGGCCTCGGAGGCTCTGTGCATCCCTACCGCGAGCCTGGTGGAGGGAGCTTTTAAAGGCTGGGCACTGTGGAGTTGGCCCTTTGCGCCAGTAACATGTGGGTCATCTCTGTCCTGTCGCACTTGGAATTCAGGTTCCACTCTGGTGCACCCTTTCAGAGCATTTGGGAAGAACTCCGAATTGCTCTTGGTCTCTGACAAGGATGACGTGGCCACGTGGCAGAGGGGAAGCCTCCCCCTGCACTGGGCGAGCGGGCGGAACATCCCAACCACAGCTGAGGCCAACCACATCAGGTACGTGCAGAGGACGCCCTAGAAACCTGTTCACTGCCAGGAACTCCCATGTTTTTGCCCCATTTGACCCCCCATGAATGTTTGGTTCTGTCAGATTCTAAAGTTTTGTGGAGCATCTTGATATTAAGGGAAGTTTTTTTTCACAAATTGTGTGTTATTTTCAGCTGGGCAAGGTGACAAAGCCATCATCCTAGCACTCTAGGCTTCAGGTTCAAGCCCAGCCTGGGTAACTTTGTGATTTAGTGAGAACCTGTCTTAAAATTAATGTTTTTTTAAAAAGGGCTGGGGAGCCGGGCATGGTGATGCACACCTATAATCCCAGCACTTGGGAGGCTGAGGCAGGAGGATTGTTGTGAGTTCGAGACCAGCCTGGGCTACAAAGTGAGCTCAAGGCCAGCCTGAACTCCAGGAGGATTGCTGTGAGTTCGAGACCAGCCTGGGCTACAAAGTGAGCTCAAGGCCAGCAGGACCCTGTCTCAGAAAGACAAAAAAAAAATGCTGGGGATAAGCTCAAAGACCCTGGATCTCTGGTACTCCAAAAAGAAAAAGGTTTAGTATTTTTGAAACATACCTGCTTGATTTTGCAAGTGATAACCTGGGAACTGAGTCAGGATGGCCTCTTCACACTGGTGGGTGGTGTGTGCTGCCCGTGTCCCCGGCCTGCCTCCCTGCTGGGGACGCAGGTAGGCTTCTGTGCACATGAGCCTCCAGGCTGCCGTGCCAGGGCGGGCCTGCTGGGTTTCTCAGAGGTGTGGATCGGTGTCACTTCTGACCAGCTGCCCCCTTCCTGCCTCCCTGCAGACTGTCCTGCCTGGCCGTAGCGCTGGCACTGCTGAAGCGCTGTGTGGTCATGTATGGCACGCTGCCGTCCTTTCATGCCATCGTCAGGCCGCTCCAAGCCCTCCTGGCAGAGCACCAGGCAGAGCGCAGCCACCCCCCTGAGCTGCAGGTGAGACTTCTGGCATCTGGGCATCTGCCCTGGCACCATGTTAGAGAGCCTCAGTGCCACACCCCCTGCTCCCCACCCCTTCCTGCATGTCCCTGCCCCTCAGTCCTCCTGCCCAGCCTGGACCCTAGGGGATCTGAAGGGTTAGTAGCCCTCCTGGGCCTCGTGCCCTGCGGTGGCAGGCAGCGTTTCACTCTACAGTAAGCCGAGTGGGCCTGTGGCACCCAGCGTGGGGCCTGGCCGCCTCGTGTTTGTCCAGCTGCCTGCAGCTCTCCTGTGCCCCCTACCCTGTACCACCCCTGCTGTCCCCCTGACAGCAGCTCACTGTGCTCTTCCTGGCCGGGTCCCCAGAGCCGAGGGCAGGCTGTGCTATTGTCCTTGTGGAGTGGCTCACCCTGTGTGCACGTATTGCGAACATGACTGCAGCTGGTCCGTTCTGTCTGAAGGATGGAGCGGCTCCCTGGCCCTGCAGGGTTTGGGCTGGGGAGAGACAAGGCTCATAGCTTCTGGGCAAAGGGGTGGCTTTGGTGTGCCAGGGACGGCAGGCCCAGCATTGCTGAGAGACTTCTAGAAGGTTCCTCAGAAGCCCAAGTGACTTTTGGACCCAAGACCTTGGGGAAAGTGTGCTTAGCTGTCTGGTACAATCAGGTGATAATGAGGCCAAATCGCCCACGCCTGTCACATTGCTCTGCCCACTGCCTCATACCTGTCTCTAGGGTGCAGCCACCTTGGCAGGGGCAGGGGTCCTGTGTACCTCCATGGTGTGGTCAGTGCTGCCCTGGGGCAGAAACGGCTGGGGCAGGGATTCCCTTACAGTTGCTAGAACAGGCAGCCGACTGATGACGTCCAGCTTTCATGCCTCTCTTCAGATGGGTCGGAGTGGTTGGGAGGACAGGGCCATCTCCTCTGTGACCCCCTCCATCTACAAGAGGGCAGCCTTGTGTTTGTGTCTCGTCCCACGTGGGCTGTGGTGGCCGCATGGATGTCCCACCTGTCCACGCTGGCTTGGCCACAGGCCCAAGGGCACCAGGCTGGGCCATCCCAGTGCCACCCCGTCATGCTTTCCAGGAGCTGTCTCAGAGCATACTGACGGATGTGGAAAACCAGAAGCAGCTCTACCGGCCGCTGATCTGTGAGAAGAGCAAGCCCGTCCCCCTGAAGCTGTTCACCCCCCGGCTGGTGAAAGTGTGGGTGTCAGGTGACCCTGTGGAGGTCAGAGTTGGGAGGGCAGCGTCTGCTCATTCTGCACTGCAGCTTGTGAGCCCAGGGAGAGGCCGTACTAGCAGCAGGCTCTGGCTGACAGCTGGGACAAACCTGCTCCGGCCTCCTCATGCTGTGCCCTTCCAATTCCAGCCTTGAGTTCGGAAGGAAACAAGGCAGCACCAAGGAAGAGCAGGAGAGGAAGCGGCTGATCCACAAACACAAGCGCGAGTTCAAAGGTGCTGTCCGGGAGATCCGAAAGGACAACCAGTTCCTGGCCAGGATGCAGCTCTCTGAGATCATGGAACGGTGAGGGGGCCGTGTGTGTGTGAGGGCAGGGGCGGGCACGACGATGCTGACCTCAGCGCTCCTGGGCCGTGACACCACCCACAGCCAGCGTTCCCACACCTGGTGCCCCGTGGCCTGGGTGGGCTGGGGGCTGGGACAGTGTCGTGGCACCGCGGGCCAGTGTTAACAGTGCTGCACTGTTAGCAGGTCAGCGAGGGCAAAGGGCACGACCTGTACAAAACTGGCATTTGTTCTCCTCTTTCAGGGATGCGGAGAGAAAGCGGAAAGTAAAGCAGCTTTTTAACAGCCTGGCTACGCAGGAAGGTGAATGGAAGGCTCTGAAGAGGAAAAAGTTCAAAAAGTAAATAAACGCTGTGTACATGAGGCCAGGCTGTATTGTGTGATGAAGTATGAAGGGGCCATGACTCAGCGGGAGCTTTTCTTGTGCTTGAGTTCCTGTGCACCTCTCTCCTGATGCGTCTGGTGTGGGAACAGCTGAAGCTGGAGATAAGCACATGGGGGCTGGAGCAAGGCCTGCCAGGAGAACAAAGAGCGCCTGAGGCGAGCCACATGAACAAGCTGCTCCGGCCCAGAGAACACCAGGCACCAGAGACAAGCCAAGCGGGCAGGTTGCTAGGCAGAGGGGAGTCATGTGACATCGCCCTGCCAAGTGTCTCAATAAACGCACTGCAGCTGTTGAGCAGTTCCTTTCCTCCCACCAGGAGAGCTCCCCCTGACCTCAGCTTTCTGTTTTGACTGTTATCTTTACTTCTCCGTCCTCTGTTTCTGAGCGCTGCACTGGACTTGGGCATCTGGACTCACCCAGCATTCTGTGCTGTGGGCCAGTCACATGCAGCGTGACATCCTGGTGCAGTTCAGCTCCGTGGCTGACGCCCTTGTTGGCCTCGTAGTTTGTTAAGGGTGGGCCGGGCTGTTTGCGCAGTGCTGTTGCTGAACCGTGGGTTCTGCAGGACGAGTTCCCTGTGAAGCTGCGCACAGCCGAAGGTGTGGAGGCCATGGTGTGCAGACAGGGCCCTGTCACCTGTTTCCTGTCTTTTCTAATGAGGTGTGGGCTTGCTCTCCAGTGAGGAGGCTGCCAGGGGAACTGGTCTGATAGGGGGAGGTGTCCAGGCCGTGGTGGGGCAGTCCTCTGAGAGGTGGTGACAGGGCCACCTTTGGATCAGCTGTGTAGGAGCCAGAGATCGTCGTTAGCAGAGAACGGCCGGAACGCCTCCGGGTGACCTTCGAGGCTCAAGCCAAGACTGCCCAGAGCAATGGGGTCTGGCCACCTGCGGCCATTTCCCAGGTACAGGTCTAGATCCAGAAGGGTCTGAGGGCTGTCAAATCCACGGAATAGGGTGCCTGTCACCTTGAAGCTGCACAGGTCCAGGCCGCGGATGCCAGCCAGCCTTGCTCCCTCGTAAACTCGCCGTGCCGCTGTTCCTACTCACTCACAAGACCCTTCGAGGGGCACCTGCCCACGTCGCAGGGAAGGAGAGCCCGGGCAGGAAGCAGTGCGCGGGCCAGGGGCCGGGCTGCCCGCCCACGGCCTTGCTTCTCAGCCCCCGTGTCGGCGCCCAGGCGTGGGGACGGGCTCGTGTGCGCTCCGGGGAAAGCCACAGTCCTGTCCGGGGCTGCGGGAGGAACGACTGCATCTGCCAGGCACAGTGTGGCCGCCGCGGCCTCGGCAGGCAGTCGAGCGTGCTCTGCAAAGGTTGTAAGCGCGGGGCCAGGGCTGGGCGGACGGCGACGACGCCCGTCCAAGGGGAGCCACTTCGCGCCCGATTCCAGCCCCTGCGACCTTGGTGAGGGCGGGCCGCACCGCGGGCCGGGCTGGAAGAGCAGGAAGGAAAGACAGACAGCCGGAGCCCGGGAGGGGCTCAGGCCGCCGGAAGGGGCGGGGCCTCTGGCCGGAACTTCCGGCGGTCCCCGTCCACGGCGCTCAGCCCGCCG